CACGGCAGCAAAAACGTACACAGTTGCATATCGGCGCGTGTTTGGCAATTACGCTTGCGCATGTTGTTTTGATTGACAGACAGACGCAGCCACATTGCTTTTGCCAGACAGTACTCCTTGGGGAGTCGTGCGTCATCTCAGCAGACACAACTGTTGCGGCTATAAACAGCCAAACACGCAACACAGGAGTCGTTTTGCTTGTTCCAGCGCGAGAGCTTTGGTGTTTAATTTGGCGTGCCAGAAATTGCGCATCATTGTGGTCACAAAGCAAGACGCAGGTTCATCTGTGCAAAGCAGTGTCCACATTCGTGTACGCGCTGATGGCTCTGTGGGAGCGGCCTGCTGCCAATTTCGGGAAAAGCTAGCTGTTCGAGAGAGAGCTTGAAAGGCATTCAGCGAGGTTGCCAACTCGCAAGCTCTTCGTCGCGCAATACAGCAAAGATCACGACCTCAACGCAAGGTCTTCCATCCAGGCGACTGGATCATGGCCTGGATTGGTCCACTGAAAGCGATAGTGCAAGAAGATCAAAACATCATATGGGCTGCGCTTGGAAACAAGTTGTTTAGAATCGCTCCGGAACATGCTAGGCCGCTATCAGCAGTTGAAGAAGTCCAACATCAACCAAAGTCGACCTCACCGGAAATGGACACCATGCTGGAACAACTCAAATCCGGAAATACCCGTTTTGTTGACCTTCCCATAGCACCTGGGTATCCCGAAACGTTTCAACCATCCGATAGATCCGAGGTTGAACGTAGCAGTGAACAACCGGATGATGAACCCGAAACAGGGGTAATTCCAGGGTCAAAGGATAATCTCGACTACACTCCCTCCATTGCACCAGCTGAAGAACCCACAGTACCGTCACCAGAACCCGCACCAGAGGCTCCAGAAAACATCCCGGTTCCTGGAGATGATGATGAAGAACTGTTGTCTGACCTTGGAAGAAGACCAAGCTCGGAAATTCGATATAGATGTCATGGCCTCAGACCCCGATCACTTAAGAAACGACCCCAGGCCATATGAATGTGCTTTCCTCGTGTCCGCAGCCAAGAAACAGAAAACGGAAGTTGAACTAGCTGTCCTGACTCCTCATGAAAAGAAGTTGTTCGTGAAAGCAAAAGAAAAGGAGATTCAGAGTTGGCTGGACACGCAGGCGGTCTGCCGCATTCTCAGAAACAATATTCCAGAACAAAATGTTCTGAAATGCCGATGGATCCTCACCTGGAAGGATGCTGACACGAACTCTCATTTGAACACAGTCAATCAGTCGGCAAACTGAAAAGCCAAAGCTCGCCTCGAAATCCTGGGATACCAGGATCCCGTGTTGAGTAATTGAGTAACCCAGAACGATATAGTCCAACCCTATCCAAGCTTCCCAGGAATCTGTTGCTCCAAACATGTGTTTCGAATAAATGGACAATTGGAAGCTTCGACATCAAAACAGCATTCTTGAGAGGACGCGCCGACTCCAAACCTCCTGCAGAGCTTAGAGCAAAGTTGAACCTCCAACCCAAAGAGATATGCCGATTGCTGAAGGGGGCCTACGGCCTCGTGAACGCACCACTCTTGCGGTTCAAGGAACTCACCAAGGCATTGTTGGAACCTGGCTTTGAAGCAGCCCCGTTTTGACCCGTGTTGCTTTATCTTGTATGATGAACAACAACAAGCCAGAGGTGGTTGTTTGCTGGCGATATGGAATTTCACCAAAAGATCAGCCAATTGGAGAAAATCTTTCCGTTCGGATGTAAAAAGCAAATGAACTTTGTCTTTACGGGCCTATAGATCAACCAACAAGATGACTATACCATCACGGTAGATCAAACCCAATAAGTGAAAGACACTGATCCTATTAGTATCGATAAAGATAGAAAAACCAGACAGATGCACCAATCAACGAGGAAGAACGTCAAGCCTTTCGGGGACTCATCGGAAGCCTTCAATACGCAGCTGTCAACGACCAGATCTTGGAAGCCGATTCAGCTTTTTGCAAAGCAAAATAAATAATGTCCAGATCAATGATCTTATCGAGGGAAACAAACTCCCGCATGATGCCAAACTCCACTCGAAGGTGCAATGTCAGCATCATGTCCGGTTTGTGGCCTTCTCAGACGCATCATTCGCCTCAGAGAAAATACAATCATCACACCAAGGACTAATGATCATGACCGCGCATAAGAACATAGGGCTAAAACGCAGCGTAGTCAATCCAATCATGTGGTCTTCCAAGAAAATTCAAAGGTGGCAGTGAGCACCCTCTCAGCAGAGGCGATGGCTCTTGCGGCACAATGGATATCCTCGCATGGCGTCGACTGTATTGGGGATGGCTTCTGGACACAGTTGCCAATGGAGACTGGGAGACAAAACACTGCAAAAGCTTCCTCCAGCTTTTTCGGCACTCAAGGATGAACCTGATCTCTTAGACCCGAACACTTCCTTGAGCGAGAACCTTGAGACACTCCAAGCCATTGGAAAAACCGATTCCCTGATTGCCACAGATTGCAAAAGCCTTTACGACCTCATCAGCAGAACAGCACCTCCAGCATGCCAGGAATTCCGGACATTGTTGCAGGCGAGGTTAATCAAGGAACACCTAGCCGCTAGCCACCGGCGTTGCCATCCGGTGGGTCCCGTTAAATGCTCAAGTGGCCGATTGCCTCACCAAAGTCATGGACACTACCTCACTCCGTGAATTACTTCAGGTAGGTAGGTGCCAACCCTGAAGAAGAGATCCGATCCTAAATCCCGTCTCAAATGGGTCCGAAGCCATTTGCAGCCGACGACAGATCCCAACAAGTGAGAAAAGCCAAGACGTCTCCACTTGTGTGGCGAGATCTTCACCACTGCAGCTCTCCCAAGCCAGGTTCAAGAACTCAGCGATGTCTGACAGACTGAACACCAAACTTTGAAACCCAGGGAATAGGTCAGTGCGCAGCGACACTGCAGTGACTTCAAAAGCAAATTAGGAGGGAACATACTCTGAGGAGTACTTTTGGGAAAAGCACTGATGCTTCGAAACATGCTTGACAACTTAATTAGTTTTGGGAATGTCATTTGCAACCTGTCGCGTGTTCGAACCGCTTCATGAGTGTTTGTGCATCGCACCCTTTTCCTTCTCGAGACAAAGGGAGGGCGGGTGGTGAGCCGTTCATGCTACTTGAGATCAAGGATCTCAGCCGGTGAGCTTGGTGCGCCTCTTGGAAAAGACCGAGGCTACGGAAAGTGCAGGGCACTTGGAGCAACCACAGGTGTTTGGAAGGAGGGCTTCTGTTTGAATTGGTTTGCACGTTGTTCTATACGGTGAGAGCCCAATCCACCGGATCTTCCCTACCAGTGCCAGATCGAGTTTTGATACGTGTGTACGTAGGTACGTAGGTGGGTAGGTAGGTAGGTAGGTAAGTAGGTAGGTAGGTAGGTAGGTTAGGTTAGGTTAGGTTAGGTTAGGTTAGGTAGGTAGGTAGGCGCGTGCCTCCGGGCCTCCGGGCCTCCGTGCGTGCGTGCGTACGTGGGTGTTTGTTTGCCCTGCTTAACCCGCTCACAATGGTCGCAATGCGCATGCTGCATCCCAAAAGTTGCTTCAGAAGGATCTGAAGCGTCTTTGTGCATTACTCTAAAATGTGATGGTTGCATCTTGGCCGGCTGTGTCTGTTAACAACTTCATGTTTTGCTTGCACAAATCTACTGTAAGAAGATTTTGCAAGCTCTCGTGCATGACAAGTTCGCGGCATCTTTGGTGACCGTCTACCAAATTGTTGCAAGGGAGGTTTGGGGCGGCGCAAAGTGTTATGTTTCGTCCAAATGGCACTTCATACGGGTTCCCACATGCTACAATTTGTTGAAATTATTGGCACCCAGTCAACAACAGAAGCTATGGCAGAGTAAGAGGTACAACAACAACAACAATTTCACATGAAATGAAAGACATAAGCGAAGCTTCATTAGCAGAATGTGTTTGTAAATCCGACATTCAGGCGCAATCTGCATTAGCGTTAGATTACTGCAGCTGATCCGTGAGAGTGTCTTTGTGGGACACTGTGAAGCAGCTGGACTCTGCAGAGAAAGAGAGGAAGAGAGAAACAAAAAGAGAGGAAGAGAGAAACACTGTGAGAGAGAGGAAGAGAGAAACAAAAAGAGCAAGAGCGAGACGCCGAGAGCGCTTTTCATCAACCTTCACTGTGCCGAGACAGAGGGTTTGCAAGAAACCGTGTGCTGCCCTTTCATCATGGCAGCAGTCTGCACTAGCAGGAGTGCAGAGAAGGAGGGGACTTCAGGGGGACCTTTCCGAAATATGTAAACCAAAAATGGAACGATGACTCGTTGCGACAACAATAATTTTAGTATGTGTCTTGATGTCCTCTCAGTTGAAGCGCATCAGAATCTACTGTATAGAATGCTCGTGGATGGATCGGAGCAGTAGTGTACCTTCTTGCCAAAACAAGACTTGGGTGTCTGAAGGTCTGCTGGGCACACCACATCGTACGGGGATTCCTGCCTTTTGACAAGCATAGCATAACGGTAATGCACGCTTTTCCGTAGGGGCCTTTATGCCATCAAGGTCCTTCTGGTCCTTCTATGCATAGGAAGTTTTATTCTGTTGATTTCCCTGTAACTTCTGTACACTGGCATGCTTATTGCAGCCACCTCCAGGAGTGGAGGTGAAGTCTTTCTGTCGGTTTGAGCAGCATCCAGCTGCTCTTCGTAGGTTTGTTCGTATCTTTCATAATTTATACAGGTGTTTGAATCAATACTCGGGTTTCTCTGCAGGGTCAATTTGTGCAATCTTTGCGTGTCTTGGTGACTGGTGGGGAGCAAACGAGCTGCGACAATGAAAAAGTGTGGAGCTGACCCCTCTCCTGCTTGTATTTGCGAATCATTAAGAGCTCCACAGGGGGTGGGGGCAAACTGTACAGCGCTTCCTTGCTTTAAAAAACACCGTATAAAACCTTCTTGTCCTTCTTCTGCACCACACGCCGATACTGTTCCCATCTGAGTGCCGCGCTGACCTCTATGGGCACAATAACGTTGGCAAAGCGCGAGCCCGTCCCCTCAGCTTCTTGTTCCTAGTAGCTTCTTGTTACTAGTAGCGGTGCCAGGAGCCCCTAGTAGCGTGCTTGCTCCTAGTAGTAGGGCCAGGAGCACCTAGTAGCTTCTTGCCAATAGAAATGTCACATTGCACAAATCCAATTAGAGTTTGCAGCCAACTGCTCTTTTCGCGCCTCCCGGTGGACAAGAACAACCTCCAGCTCATGACTCAGCTCCTGCTTCGTCCCTTCTGCAACCAAAGCAGGCTTGCGCAGTTGGATGCTCCTCAAACAGGCACCGTTGAGAACATGCCACGCAGACTTGTACTGATTGATCCTGCACTGGGCACAAAAGGAACGCGTGTGAGAGAGAGAGAGAGAGCTCCGCTTTACAAAAAGACAAGTCAAAGAAGGGAAGTCAGCTGCTGTAGATGGGCAATTTGTACAATGAAATCCGTGAGCAACAGAACCGTCTGTACCCCCCGCGCCCCTAAACTTCAAGGTTCCCTGGACCCCCGAAAGCATCCAACATTGAGGGACGCGTCTGCAGTTTAGACTTCCCCGTCTAGTCTGAATGCGGTATGATTTATCCATCCCTTGGCAGCGCAAATGCTCTTGGGCGTGCAACCATGAGTCTGCAAGCGATATTTCTGCTCCGCGGTCGTATTCGAATCCGGGGATGTCAACACGAAATTGGCCTGACGGCATTTGCAAAATGAATTGTTCAGGCGACACTGCACGGCAAGTTATATACAAGACTCAAGGATCAGCTGTCTCTTGGCCGCGCACGGTGATGTCGGCTGGAGCTTGGATGACGAGTGCATTATCAGTCAAAGTTGACATCAAAGGGCTTTTGTACCTGAGTCTGCACTTGCTCTTTTCTACACTCGGAAGTCACAATGTTGGAAACAAGTGGATGCTGCACATGCTTGCAGAAACGCACCCCGCGCTCATTGCAGCGCAGGCTCTCCAAGAAATCATACTTCAGGAGAACTGGAGCGACCAGTTGGGGATTTTGCAAGGCCCACCTTGCGTTGTTCGTGCTACAAACAATGTCCCGCCGCACAAATCCACAAGTCCTCTGCAATGCAGTGTGCCTGTATGTCTGCCCACTGCTGCCCATGATCGCGTCACATCCAGCGTCTGACAAGCCTTGCAAAAACGTGGACAACGGCAAGTATATCGGGGCATCTTCAGGAATGCGCACGCAATAGTAGTTGCAGAGCTGGTGGAGCACATTGATAACATTTTTCGATGGTGACACGTGCATTAAGGCAATTGGATTTGATGGCATCAAGCTTTATCCACCGAAAATTCGCTCCACTCAATGGCAACATGAATGAACCAGACGTAAAATATATATGCAAGAATCTGTTACCGAACTGTACACAGCTTCCAGTGAACAATCATATATATATGTCTAATGTGTGCATGTATGCTCTATGCGCCGTCTTTAGCACCCGATACCCTTTTGACAAGCCTCTGTGCGCCGGCTCCACTTGTACACAATTTGTCACACACTTGACCGATGATTCCAGTGACACGTTTTCTTTTTGCGCCCTCTTCGCGTTGATTGACGGAGGCTTTTTTGATATTGAGTGTGAGTCTTAGGTTGTGCGAGCAATACTATTGTGCACAAGAGCGCCTCCCCGGGCACATTTCCCTAGGTCTGCAAAAGGGCCCGAGCGAGAGAGAGAGAGAGAGAGAGAAGAGAGAGAGAGAGAGAGAGCAAGCAAAGGATGTATATTAAACCCCCTCCAACGGGATGGGCCTGAACAAAGAGGGGCCCAAACCACCAAACCACTATGGCGCGTCCCACCAAGGGACAAACAGCGAATGCTGCACAAAGCAGCAACCCTTTTACGCTCGAGGTGAGCCCGTGGCTCAAGCGCTGCGGCGGTCGGAGAACATCAGAACATCGACACCTGATTCAATCACATGTCATCGCACCAGTCCAAAGCTTTTCTTGGATCATGCGCGATCAAGCCCTGTAGGTCCTTCATTTGTTGGACCGCTGAGGTGCCAAGGCGTTTCGCCCTTTTCTCAGACTGCACGAAGTTCTCATCGAACCGCAGCCGCCAAACATTGTTCTTCTTGAACTGCGCCAAGCCACCCCCGCAAGTCCGACTTTTCTTCGTCAGACTGTCTGACAGGTTCCAATTGCCGCTCACCCACACCAAGCGGCATTGCTCTATTTGCGCTGCTCTTTGAGTTGCTCTTTGAGCTGGTAGCCCTGCAATGCGCTTCTTGCATTGCTCATGCCCAGCAGTAGGGCATCTGTCTTGTTGCAGGCGTCGAACACTCCTTTGGAGTCGGTGACGACGATGCCCTTCACGTAGCCGACAAGCTTGTTGGCCTTGTCGAGGACGTTGCCATCATTGATGGCGCAGCAGCCATTGAGCTGCGCCCACATGAACCTTACGCGGAAGTTGGAGTCTTCTCCTTCCAGCGTAGCTTGCATTTCGCCATCGTTGGTGGAGATGGCTTTGCGCTTTAAGCGCCATGAACGCCAGCTGATGGTATTCAGCTTTCTGGCGTCTCCATTGGCCTGCTCTGGGCCTCCGAGACATGTCAGGATGCCTCCTGTTGAGCCGCCCTGCGGCCTGTTGGCGTGTGCCTGATCCGCCATGGTCACGAACACTGTTGCCAGTGATCAATGCGCAGCAGCTGCCACAAGCGGATCTGCATCGGATCCTTCTTGAGATCCTTGATCAACTGGTTGATTTTTTTTTCGACAGCCATGTTCTTGTTGACCGTGAGCTCGGTGAGTAGAAGTTTCACCCTTGCGCAGGCTTGGATCTGCGTCTGGGTCGCTGCCCATTGTAGAGCTCCAAGTGAGGCTCTGCAAGCCGCCATCTCACCATCTGTGAGGTTCGTCTTGGGGTCTTGACGAAGTCGTTCATCCCTGATGGCCAGCGGTGGAAGGTCTTCCAGGTAGAAGTCCTGGTTGAGCTCAACATAGCGCTCCTTGCTCTTGTTGACCACTTCCACATTGAGGCCAGCGTAGCGGAAGTTCTCTTCCTTCTTGGAACCCCAGGCATAGAGCTCGTCGATGCTCTTGCGGACCTGGAGTTGGGTGTCGTTGCACAAGTCGCCAGCTCTCATGAAGTCATCGACGTGGCCGCCAACGAAACCAATCAAGCGGTATTGGTCCGCTTCATTGATCGGAGTGGGGTTCTCTTCCACCCAAATCCAGAATGAGCTGTCTCCAATCAGGCGGTAAGCTCCAATGCTTTTGAGCTTGGCGTCAACGTCGTGCCAGAGCTCTCGCGGCGCATCAGCATTGCCGTAGACGTTCCGGAGAATCCGGAGCAGTTCACCATCACCAGCTCCGAGGGCGTGACGAAGTTCTGGAACTCCAGGCGGTCCTCCATCACACCTTCTCCTGTCTGGAGGAACGCCGTCTTGAGGTCCAAACTCTCCAGCTTCCAATCGCGTTGAGCGATGACCGTGAGAGAGAGGCGCCTCATCAACTGACTTGAAACTGGAGCCATTGTGACCAGTAACCACCCTTGAGGTCTGGGGGCTGGAAGCCTAGAAGGACGATTCTAGCTTTGGCTTTGCGGGTGAGGGACTCATCATAGACCGTGGTGTCCGGGTTTGCCAAACGGTCCGCTCGGGCTTGGTTGCGATATTCTTCTGGCACTGGTTTCCAAACCAAGACCCATCGTGCTCGAAGCACATGATCAGATTGCTGTGCCTCTTGCTGCTCCTCGTAGGTCAAGCAGCGGCGTACAGCTTGGGTCTTGAGGAACGATGAAACCTCGCCACCTTTGGCATTGGTCATCAGGCGTCGCTCCTCCGAGTTGAGACATGCGCACCATGTTCCGAGGTGCGGGATGTCCAGATGCTTGGTGGAGTCGATGTAGTTGGATGGCCCAGTTCTTCTTGTCATCCTCGGATGGAGGTGGTTCTTGATCTTCTTCATCATCATCAGCTTCATGAGGTTGTCCGGAATGCCCATCTTGAGCTGCATATAGGGTGTGGTCCCCAGAAGTGGCGATAGCTGAAGAATTGCTGAAGCACAGCAGCTGTGTTTGGAAGCTGCTTGCGTACCAAGGGCGACTGCTCCAGCTTGTTCAGGAGGTTGTGCACGCGGTTGGTGCCTGAGAGTTCTTCCAAGCTCCATGACATGGCCAAAAGCCTTGCAGGTCCAGTGAGGCGAGCGACAAGACGAGCTCCAAGTGGGGACCTCTGGCTTTTCTTTGTCCCCATCGTGTACCAAAGAACCTCTCTTTCACACCTGCACCATCCTCGAGGGTTGCCATCCCATGATGGAATGGTCTCAGCAACCTGTTTGCCCTCCATGGCCAAAATGGCGAGAGCAAAGAAAGAAGCCGCCTCTTTGAGGCAAGGTGCAAAAGTGAAGACCTCGTTGAGGTACAGCCAGCAGAAAGTAGCCCTCAACTTGTAATGGATGAAGTCGAAGTCCAGGAAAAGGCTATGGATAGTCCCGAAAGGAGAAAGTTCAGGATGTCAAAGTCCCGGATGTAGTGTCAGCCTTGGCGTTGCCGGCCAACCGGGAAGTAGCGATACCCAATCACAACCTCCCCCGATGGCAGCACCACGTTGAGAAGGCCTCCTTCTTGCTGCCAACGCCCAGCTCGCGTTGGTTGAGCTTGCCGAGGATCGTTGTCGAAGATGCTCCAAAGAGCCGCTGCAGCCCATATGTTCTTCTCGTCGGTGAAGGTCCTCACCAGGTTCAGGCTCTGGATCAGGCTCCGGGCGATCCCGGGTTCGTGATGTCCTTGCATCCACCTGAGCACGAAGCTGCGGGGTGAAGATATTGTAAGGACGCGAACCGCCAGGCGGGGAATGAGAGACCTCGGAGAACCGCAGGAAGTAGGCCGCCACGAAGCCCCAGGCAAAGCTCCGCTGCCAATGCAACGGGATGGGCCTACACCAAGAGGGGCCCAAACCACCAAACCACTATGGCGCGTCCCACCAAGGGACAAACAGCGAATGCTGCACAAAGCAGCAACCCTTTTACGCTCGAGGTGAGCCCGTGGCTCAAGCGCTGCGGCGGTCAGAGAACATCGACACATGGTTCAATCACATGTCATCGCACCCCCTGAACCTGCCTAGCTCATTCTGTATCCTGAAGGGTGTAGAAGCTTACAGCAGCTACAAGCACATGATTTGCCCGTCTTCTTCCCAATGGCTCACATCAGAGCAAGACAGTCTCAGTGCTGTCCAGCTACACCAGGGCCGAGAAGGATAGAATGCGAGGCGAAAACAATTGGCCAACGTTCACGTAGAGAGATACCACACGACCAGAAGAAACGTACTTAAAGGTTCAAGGCGTTTAGTATTTGGATGTGCTGCTTGGTGCTACTTAGGAAGTAGCCTATCTTGAGATATAACTTATGTAAGTGAAGATATAAATGACTTTTCTATGACAACTATTTATCATCACTTACTATCTATGACGCATCAATTACTTTGTGTTGTAACTATGTAAGCTACTCACTATCTAATTTGTATCTACTTATGCTAAGTGAGCTAAGTACTTACCACACATACAAGCCAGACCCCCAAGTCAAGGACAAGGTCAGGAGCACAGATGTGGCGCGCAGCTGCTGGCGTCGCCCTACTTCAGGGTACGCCTCCCCCGCCGAGGGCCGTCGAGAGGTTGTGGTTGAACGGGGCAACTCATGCAGACATGCCATGCAGAGGCTCATTTGCTTGCAGTTGCTTTTACCGGTGAAGTCTGCAGTGTTTTTCGAGTGGGCAATTCAGAATGTTTCTTGCCTTTACATGGCTTTCATGAGGTTTCCTGTTGTCATGTGACATGACATGGCCAGACGTGACATGGTTTTCCTGTTTTCATGTGGCGTGACATGGCATGACATGTCGTGGTTTCCTGTTTTCATGTCACATGACATGGCATGACCTGGTTTCCTGTTTTCATGTGACATGGCATGACACGGCCATGACATGCTTTCCTGTTTTCCTGTGACATGACATGGCATGACATGACATGACACGGCCATGACATGGCGTGACATGACATGTCATGTGGAGAACTCCAACATGTTCTGCATGATGCAAAGGCACAAACACTTCTGCAGTCAGATGTGTGGTCAAGAACTTGAAATACCATTTTCTGTATCATTTATACCGGGGGACCATGAAGGTGTCATGACAAACATGTTCACATGAAGGTGACAATCTCAGAACATGAGTTTCATGAGTTTCATGTGTCAAACACTCTGACATTGCACATGCATGAGTCTCAGAACAAGCATGAGCGTCATGAAAGGTCCCGATCTCACAAATATATGTTCACCCATGTCACAAACATGTTCTCACACATGACCACTCCTCTCACAAACGTTTTCACACATGTTCACAAATCTCCCCAAAAAAAGTTCACGTCTGACCACTGCTTCACTGCGCCGAGCATCATGGCACTTCCTTGTCACGTGGTGGATGGAATGCAAGAGCTCCTGCGCAAGGATCCTGAGAAGTTGGTGAAGACCGTGCAGTCCTGCCTGGACTTTTTGACGGAGCACGGCATTGTCACGACAATGAAGCTGCCACCACTGGCAGTTGGAGTCCACCCTTCCAACCGCGATGGTTTTGGAGTGAACCCAAGAGACGTTCACGAGCTCATCGACAACATCACTGCCGTTGGATGGGTGGATGCCAAAGTGGCAGGCATAGCAGTTGAGATTGAGGATTTGTGAAAGATTCTCACGATCCAAAAAAAATCCGTTATGACATGCCTTTCATCACATGACACGAACCTCATGTTGCACAACCATGACGTGGCATGCCCTCCGCATTCAGCCTGCCGCTCCTAGGCTTGGAGCTGTTGAACACGCTTCGACGTGTCAGATGCTCAATGAAAACGGTCTGCAGACAATTCTGGACACCATTCATGCTGCTTGAAGTAGATTCGAGAGTGGACACATTCTTCAGCAGATGTGATCTCCAAGTCTTCTATAGAGGTTCAAAGGTTGAGGTTTTGAGCATCCGTTTTGAGGCGTGAGCGATCTTCTTGATCTTCCTGGCAGACCTGATGCCGGCTTTGCGGCCTGACCCTTGGTCGCACGACCTTCACCCCGGCAGGTCGTGAGCTGAAAGACAGTGAATCCCAATATATTATTGTTTATAATTTTATAAAAATTTCATTGGGTAATGCTTCACCATTTTCTAATATTATAAAAATTGATTGGGTAATGCACATTTTTTTAATACTATAAAATTTCATTGAGTAATGCAGCAAAATGTTTTTATTATTAAAAATTTTCATTGGGTAATGCAGCAAAATTTTGTAATACTATAACATTTCATTGGGTAATGCAGCACATTTGGTATAATATTATATATAAAATTTCATTGGGTAATGCACCAAATTTTGTATAATATTACAAAAATTCATTGGGTAATGCAGCAAAAAAAACATATTATAAAATTTCATTGGGTAATGCAGCAAAATTTTTATGATATTATAAAACTTCATTGGGTAATGCTGCACAATTTATATAATGTTATAAAAACCTAGGTCTAGAGCCAATCATATTTTCACAATATTGCTAAACTACAGTCTTCTAACATGTTGGTGGCTGAGACGGGCTGACACAAGTTGAGACTAGTTTCAGACGATTTTGCAGACCACACGCAGTGATGAAACGCAGTTGGAACGGCTTTTGTGAGGAGCCCTAGTCTTGCTCTGAGCACTTGCCGAACTGGTCAACTGCTAGAGGTTTGAGACAATGTTTAAAAACACTTTGAGATGCGGTTGAGCTCTACAGTCTTACACTGAACATTGGCCAACCCAGTCAACTGCTAGAGGTTTGAGTGAGAAATTGTTTTGCGAGTGGTTGTTCACAGCTGTACTTGTGTTGTGCTCTCTCACGTCTACAGCAGTTCTTCTGTCTGTTGTTCTTGTTGTTGTCATGTGAAGCGCAAGGCAAACAACATGACAAAATCCATGACCATGACAACGTGTCAGGACGCATGTCAACACAATATAGGACAGCGTGTGGAGACATGTGTCAACAGTTCATTTTGATGGGCATGACATCCTGCTTCTTCTCCTTAATCATGTTTGTTTTGGTGTGTGATGTCCCAACTCCTATCGGAGCTGAACGATATCCAATCCTTCCTCACAGCGCAGAAGAACACTTTGGGGAAGCACTTCACTGAAGTACGGGACGCGCAAGCAAAAGGTTTGGTTGGGACGCTCTGCTTGCGCTTTTCACATGTCATGTCACGCGTGCACGTTTTGGGCTTTTGTTTGTGGGAGGGCGGGTTAGTTGTTGTCAAAGTTTGCCCGGGAGATACAACTTCACTTGTCTACCTTCCAGAACAGTCATGGATCGGAATACTGGACGCCAAAGTTCCACAGCTGCTTGCATCTACCGTCCATGTGGAGAAAACATCAAGTGCTCCTGGCATGCTTCTGCCAGGAGAGGAAGCACCAAATGAAGCGCATAGTGAATCAAGTGAACAACCGGGACCCCGCCCGGTCGTTTGAAAAGAGTGTCATGCAGGACACTACTCTGAGACAGTTCGAGATGATGGATGATGAGGTTTCGATTCCACGCGAGTGGCCATGTTTGTTGGAGGCGCAGCCGGCTTCATCAAAGATCTCTGACATGATTTCGATGGCCCTTCAGCTTCCTGCCAATGTTGGTGTCAAGTCTTCACGAAAGGGCATCACCGGCTCGGCTGGTCTTTGTTGAGGCCACGGTCGACCGCAAACACATTGGCAAAGTGAGGTGGCTCTGCAGTGTTGAGGACACATGCATGGCATGCCTCGACGTGTGGAAGCATGTGACGCAGTCTCAACTGCCAGCTTGTGCCTCTTGCGTGTGTCACAGACACGTGCATGCACTGCATGAAGGAAGGGGGAGCGCTGGCGATCTGGTGAAAATAAGGCTTCTGCGTCAAGCTGTCAACATGTTCATGGGTTCACATGACATGCAGTCAACATGTACATGAGGGCAATATGACGTGCAGTCAACGCGTTCATGGGATCATATGACATACACTGGCCCCCTCGCAGGTGATGCCAGCAGCTGCCGTGCCCAGGAGGGAAGAGCGGCTCACACAGGGTTGGAACTCTTTTGGGGAAACACTTAGGACACCTACTAACTGCTCTAAGTGCACATAGCTAAGTGTGCTAAGTGTTTTCGTATGTGTTGTATATGGTTAGTATGTATGCTAAGTGTTTACTAACCACGGTGGACCTTTAAGTAGCTTGCGACATGCTTCAGCCGCCACAAGGAATTCGCAAATCGCAACGAATCTGAAGTGAATTTTTGCTTGATTGACTCATTAACGTTTTGTTGTCTTTTGCCTTCTTTCTATCTTGTTTTTTGCCTGCTGGTGGCCCTGCCTCTTAAGTCTTTACTTAATTATGTATATATATAAGTAGGCGCCTACTTGATTAAGTAAGGCTAGCAAGCTACTAGTTACCGGACGCAAAATAACTCATGCTTCTTCAAGAAAGCTCCCGAAGCTTCTTCAAGCGCTCGCACTCTTCATTTGGCTCCATGATTTTTTGGAAAAGTAACCTCTATATAAGAATATACTGTTTCAAAAATCCACGCCATGGTATTGAGAAGGGTGGAAGAGTAGCGAACCATAGCGGGCGTAGCCGTTTGCATCTGTTGAAGTGGAGGAGTGGACGCATATGCCCAGGAAGTGCATACCCAGAAAGTTGGGCCGTCCAAGCAGTGCTATGAATATACAGACATGTTGAAGGTGGGCAGCAGTCTGACACTTCAAAAGAAGCGCCCGATAATAGACTGTAAATCGGGGCAACTTTGTCGGCATGCGAGCCAGTGAAGGTTGATGGAAAGCGGAGAAACAAGGTGCCTGTGATACAATACAACATGGTTCTGGTCATGAAGGAAGAATGCAAGTGTCTAACACTCAAGAAGCTAGATACAGTAGATTTTGAGGGGTGCGCGTGTAAAGGAACTTTAGATTGACAAGTGATTTACAATATAAGCGTGTTGGTTTTCCGGCAGTTACATCACAAAACACTGCGCACACAACATATCGCCCATTCTTCCATGATTACACTACACAGAAAAAATGCACCACTTGATTTTTGTGCTATAGGTTCCACTCTTCCGTCGAAGTGAGGAAGGCTTTCGAAAGTCTTTGTTCTGGAGCACTGACAAATCAGTGTCGACTTTTGCAATGCCTGAGCCTGAACCTGTCAGGTAACACTTAAAAGAATGCCGCCACTGCAAAAGAGAATAAAATTAAATGTTTGAGAAATCAAGCACAAGTCACTAAGGGTTCTGGAAATAGAAAGGGAAGACAGACTGTGCAAACTAGATGTCACCGACAACATCCTACAACAATATGTCGGAACTCATTAAACCTGAATCATTGCAAAAGAATCGTGCAAAAAGAAATCAGAAACCTGCTAATCCCATCGGCCAATCCCCAGCACGTGTCGGACGAACGTTATTGCCCCCGCCCGCCCTACCCCTACACAAATTGTGAAAACGGTGCGGCACAAAAACACCGGGCGATACCGGGCGTCCTAGCAAGCTGCAGGCAATATGCGAAGTGATATCGTCTATATATACAGTAAATACAAAAAGGTACGCGCATAGAACCTCGACAAACCGATGACTTCAAAGCACCTCTGGAGACTGAAAGCACAGCAAGGAGCAAAAGCCGCTTCACCTGCAAATATATCAGAACATGTCAAAGAACTTGAAATGGCAAACTGTAAAACTGCCGCAGCCTGGGTTTCTCTGAACATTGGGTTGACGAACTGTCACGAAATATGAACCTGGCCAAGAACTCACTACAATCGAAGCCTGCATACCTGCATGCCCCGACCCAAAAAAAAGAAACAACTCCCCAGCTACCAGCCTGGTGGTTTTCCAAGGAGTTCACTCTCAGAAACTCTAACTGTGAGCCATGGTGTCAGCTGCGGCTTCGCTTTTGGAAAGCAACTCGTCTGCGTACATTCAATTCAACAAAAAATAACAACAGTACAAGAAAAACACAACATGCCTTTCCGTCGATGGAGATTGGACAAGCGATGGCGACCGTCTGCAAACATCCCCAAGGCACTTGTGGAACTTAACAGTGAGATCAAACTAAACTACTGCTCATGGACGCGCCATGTCCTACAACTCTTCCTGCCGCTGAAGTGTGGCTCGGCTCTCCTTGATTGCCGTCGATTGCCATAGCTGCTTGCCGCTTTCAGGATGAACTGTGGAGCCTGCCCAGGAGCAAGAAACAAAATTGTATAATTCGTTCATAGTGACCATAAGTATAAGTAAAGGCCCTGGAACTCACTGGGCAATGCTACCAAACACTGAATTATCCGGATCAAAATGTACATGTGCTTCGGAGCGACGCAAATGATCTGAAGAAAACATTCCAGTATTCAGAGCCTGTCCAGCTTCACTGGCACGAGATTTCAACCTGGAAACGCCCACTTCAGAAGAAAGTCCTAGAAACTTGAAACGTACAATTCTACTATTGTAAGGAGTGAGCACGACATTTCCATTCTGGGAGTGGGTGATGACTCCTGCAAGAGAAAGCGCCACAAACACAAACAGTCTGAACGAATTGATCCCAGCTGCAGTTTGTGAAGCTGAAACTCTCAAAATATCTGCCCCCCAAGCGCCTGAAGAATCCATGGCGATACGATCTGCAAAGACACATGAATGCCAAATACACCTGCTGGCTGCATATGCATTTGCGCGCATATCCTCACTTGTTGCGATTTAACACATTCGAGACTTCCGGTTTACAATGAGCATGTGGTGACTACCACTATTGTCATGGGTCATGAGTGTATAAAAGTCAAGCTGGAGCCAGCGACAAGAAGCAAAACATCTGGGCAAGCAAAACCACCATGAGCAAAAGTGTGTCAAAATGTTGGGAGTTTATCCAAACGCTCCGTCTGCCATGCGTTTGGTTCTGCTTTCGGCGTTGAAATTTTCCTTCCAATGCATACTCCTGTTTCAGGACGTCGGCTGGTGCTTCACCAAGTGGCTTGCTAGACCCCCCGTACTTTGCTGGGAGGTTCTGCACATCAATGAATTCACGCAGCGTCCTCAATGAAGAATCTTTCCCCACACAAACCCTTAATTTTTGCCGCTGCTTTTCAGAGAACAGTGGACTGAACAGATTGTAAATTTTGCCCCACCACGCCGGTGCATTGATCACGACCACAACGTGCTCTCGCTCTGGAAAGTGTTTTTGGATGATTGCTGACGTCGTCGAAAACATCTGCACCACTTGGAGTGTCAACATGGAGAAACGAAACCCCTCCATGTCAACAATAATTGTGCCTTCTGCAGCATCGTCACCCCCCAGCCACACATCCCAAGTGAACAATGTTTGCCAAATGTAATTGGCAGTGATTTCTTCCGTCCTCAAACCTTCTCTTGCTAATGCTCTTGGATCCATCTGGCCTAGAATTTCCCAGTAAGTTTGGCGTCCTGCCCGATCTTCTAGATGTAAGTATGTCGGGTAATGAGGGTGGATGCGAAAATACAGCGGGTTTGGTTTCTGCATGACATCGTCGTCTCCAATGGAACACCTCCATTGCAAAGTCTCCACCCAGCGTTTCATGGCCAACCGCTTATCCATGCCGCATGCCTTTATCATGTATTGCGGCAGCTTGCGGTCCAAACTTTCCAGATCATTTTCATTTGGGTTCGGGCCCAGTGCCGCAGCTTGGCATGATTTTGACATATGTTGTTCCATGTTGACGCAACTTTGTGGCGGAAGCATGTACAGAAAAACACTTGCAAGTACAATGGCGAACCGCGTTTTTTGAGACATGGCGCTCGCCAAAATACGACCCATACGGCCAGAACTGGGTGGCAGAGCCGAAACGTCCTGCAAAACAAATAATGATTTTTCCGCATGCAATTTCAAAAAGATCTCGTTGCCCACTTTTTTAAAACGACCAAACAACTTACGGACCTACGCAACCACTTTGGTGTCTCCTTGCCCACCTGCAAGGCATTCAGTTGCTGGCGAACTCCTGCAGGATTCCTGCAGCGCCTCCCGTTTTCTCCGCGTTGTGCTCTGCGTGCTTTTCGCCTTTTGATGCTGTTGCATTGAGAAGGGCCCACGCTAAACTCCACAGGGACAACAGGACAACACAGCAACCCCAACGACTAACGAAAACAAAGCAAAGCGAACGCATTCTTAAAAGTTTCCACGTCACGGCCCTCCGGATAACTGTTGCAAAGCGACCGGTTTGCCGCGGTGGGCATGGTGGTCGGTGGTCGCAAATCAAAATAGTAGCAATAACAGTAGTAGTCGTCGTCATAGTAGTAGTAGTAGTAGAAGTAAAGGTAGAAGTAGCAGTACTACTACTGGTACTAGTACTAGTAGTAGTAGTAGTAGCAGTAGTAGTAGTAGTAGTAGTGGTGGTAGTAGTAGTAGCAGTAGTAGTAGTTGTAGTAGTGGTAGTAGTAGTTGTTGTAGTTGTGGTAGTGGTAGTAGTGGTGGTAGTAGTAGTAGTAGTAATAATTAGTAGCAGTAGTTGTTGTAGTTGTTGTAGTAGAAGTAGTAGCAACAGAAGCGAAGCAACAGTAGCAACAGCAACAATAGCAGTAGTGGTGGTAGTAGTGGTAGTAGTAGTCGTCAGTAGTCAGCAGCCAGTAGCCAGTAGCCAGTAGCAGTAGCAGTAGCAGTTGTCGTAGTGGTAGTCGTGGGAGTAGTCGTAGTCGTGGTCGCGGTCGTGGTCGTAGAAGAAGTAGTAGTAGAAGTAGTAGTTTGAACAGTAGCAACACGAGTAGTAGTCGTCGTCGTCATCCTGGAAGCATGCAGTAGTAGTAGTAGTAGTAGTAGTAGAAGTAGAAGTAGAAGTAGAAGTAGAAGGAAGTAGAAGTAGAAGTGGAAGGAGGTACAAGTGGAGGTAGAAGTAGTAGTAGTAGTAGTAGTAGCAGTAGTGGCAGTGGTAGTAGTAGTAGTAGAAGTAGTAGGGGGTAGTAGTCGTAGTAGTCGCGCTAGTAGTAGTTGTAGTAGTAGCAGAAGCAGAAGCAAGCAGTAGCAGTAGCGGTAGCAGTAGCAGTAGCAATAGCAGCAGTAGCAGTAGCAGCAGCAGCAGGAGGAGGAGTAGGAGTAGTAGTAGTAGTAGTTGAAGTAGTAGTTGTTGTTGCTGTTGTAGTGGTACAAGGTGAGACCCTGGAGTTGTTGAAGCTATATTGAACTAGAAGCTCACTATGGTGTACTATAGAGCCCTATAGGTTGTGTAAGTTTCCGATAAGTAAGTTACACATTTTTCTCCAAAAAAACAGTTTACTGTTGGTGGTCTATGATAGAAAAAAGAGCTGGCCACACACACGTTGGCCGCGCCCCTGAACTGTGGCTGGGCTCTGTGGCCCGGCTCTGTGTCCAGGCCTTCTCCTCCTCTTGGCCGCGCCCCTGAACTCTGTGGCTGGGCTCTGTGGCCCAGCTCTGTGTCCAGGCCTTGTCCTCCCTCTTGGTGTCCTCCTCCTGTCCTCCTCTTGGCAATGTTGCTGAACTCTGTGGCTGGGCTCTGTGGCCCAGCTCTGTGCCCAGGCCTTGTCCTCCTCTTGGCCGCGCCCCTGAACTCTGTCAACTCTGTGGCTGGGCTCTGTGGCGCGCGCGCTCTGACGTACGCTCCAGAAAGGCGCGCTCAGAGCGCGCTCTAAAGAGAGAAAGACAAAGAAAGATAAACCTAAAGAAAGAGAGAGGGAGAGAGAGATGTAAAATTCAACATGACACTGTTCCCAACAACGGTGCCTCTAAGTCTGTGGGTGGCTCTGTGGCCCAGCTCTGTGTCCAGGCCTTCTTGTTCTTGTCTTTCTCTTGTCCTCCTTTTGGCCGCGCCCTCCTCTTATCCTCCTCTTGTCCTTGTCTTGGCCCCGCCCCTGAACTCTGTGGCCCGGCTCTGTGTCCGGTCTTGTCCTCCTCTGCCTTTTGTCCTGCTCTTGTCCTCCTCTTGCCCTTTTCTTGTCCTTGTCGTCCTCCTGTCCTCCTCTTGTCCTCCTCTCCTCCTTTTGTCCTGTTCTTGTCGTCTGGTTTTCGAACCCTGTGGTCCTCCGTCCTCCTGGTGTTGCCCGCTGTCCTCGTGCCACAGGCACAAACCCCGTGCCCTTCTTTTGTTGTTTGTCCAGGTCTGCCTGTCCTGCTTGTCCACGTTGTGGGCCCTTTTATCACCGTCTTATTCGGGGCTTGTCCCCTGCTTGGCCACGCCGTTTCTCCTATCTCCACCGCCTTGTCTGGGTATGTTTTCATGTGGCTACGAATGCAACAGTGACACAGTGTTCGAAATGCGATATCACCATCGGATCTTCTCGCGACATATATCCGGTATCCCATCGTTTTGCGCATGTGACATGGGCATCAGGAACTTGTGCGTTCAACCATTTATTGTTTAGGTGCAGTTCCCAAACAGCTGGAGGCTTTAGAAAAGTATACTTGCATTCTTTTCCACCAACATTGGAATTTTCGGAGTTGACGCCGACCCGACGAAAATGCTGACGCTGTTATACCTTACATAAAACTTGCTCGTTTCAATTTTGCTTTTCTAAAAAAGTATTGAAGTTGCCTGGAACTTACTGGAACTCAATTTTAGAAGTCTTTTCCAGAGAAAGTTTGTTTTGAAGACGAAAATTAGCAAAAAGTTAACAAAGGTATAAAAGTACAAAATTTAGCGCCCGCATGTTCGCATGGGCTCACAGTATCTGGACACGCCGGACATGGCTTGGGAGGAGCGGCAGGGCCGCTGGGCAGACGAGGCCGACCAGGAAGCTGGTTCGCAGTGGCAAGGCCGCTGGTCGGACGAGCCCTACGGTTGGCAGCGGCTGGCAGGACATCGCCTGCACGACACTGCCAATGAGCATGGCTGGCGGGGTGGTGGGATGCTGCTTGGCAGCCGGGCCGCTGGGGTCACGACTGGCACGAGCCGCGACCGCCGCACGTGACACCGC